ACAACTCAATGAATTGTCAAAAAGCAAATAACCTCTAAAATCCTTTTTTTGAAAAGACGTATATTCACTGAGGCAGCACAAAAGCACTTGGGGAAGGTAAATTGAAGGGTCAGTCTGTGCCTCTGAGAGTCTGTATTTGTCAGAAGCTGTCCAGTGATGCTGGCACTGCCTGCCTCCGACTGAAAGTATGGGCCTGAACATGTAGCATAAGCATCTCCAAGAGCCTGGTGGAAATGCAGAAACTCAGGTCCACCCCAATACACTGAGCCTCAGTCAGCCAGGAAGATTAAAAGCTACTGAGGCTTCACCTTCAGAGGTTCTCATTTAATTGTCCCGGGGTGGAGCCCTGGCACTGGTGATCTTGACAGCTGCCCAGGTGCCCCTGAGGCACGGCGCAGGTTGGGAAGCTTGGCTGTGGAGTCATGAGTTCCCAGTGTTAAAAAGGACCCTATGTTACCTTATCCTACCTCTGCTTTTTATGAAGGATGGTAAATAGTTCCTGAAAGGGCAGCAGCCTAAGGGCACACCATATATGAACAGACCCATCAATGTTAAATAGGACATGACCTTGGAGTTTAAGAATTCAATTCCCTCCTTTGTATATAGAGAAAATGAGGCTGAGGCAAGACAGGGCCGGCAGGAGGGGCACTAAGGACTTCTATCCCTTACACCAGGTTACCTTGTGATGCCCTTGTCTCCCTCCAAATTTCAGATTCCATACCTGGCCAAGGACAGGCCCTTGCACATCCAGCTCTTCAGCTGTCAGTGGCAAAACCCTTTCTCAACCCTAAATCTCAATATGTGGATTAGGGACCTCCACAGTCATAGGGTTACATTATTAAAAATGCAACTCGGCAAGAAACCAGGACTCCATAAAGGGAATACTGATAACTATTATTACATAGATTTTGGAAATGAAACATACATAAATAGAAGATAAATAAAATTAAGAAAAGCTTTTTGTCAGTAATTATGACAAGCCAAAGAGTAATTTGACAACATTCTTCATATGTAAAATACTTTTACAATCAATAAGAAATAGAAAACTGAAAAGCAGGCAAGGGAAATCAGGAAAAGTAAAAAAGATCAATAAGTAAGTGAATGTTCAACTTCACTTACAGTTCAAGAAACATAAATAAAAACACTGGGAGAGACCCTCAACTCAGGTAAATAAAGGTTAAAAAGATGGCCTGGTCATGATGTGGGAAAATAGGCAATTGAGCACAGAGTTTGTGAACATGTAAATACACAAAAATTTGATTTGGGCAGTTTGGTGATACCTATGAACATTTAAAATTTGTATATTCTGGGCCTCCCCGGTGGCACAGCTGTTGAGCGCTGGGTTGCGAAGCTGCCCGCAGCCTCTGCAGCACCAGTTCGATCCCCGGCTGCTCCCCGGCCCCCGGAGGAGGGTCCCACATGGCGCGCAGACCCCTCCTGCCGCCCGCTGTCCCCTCAGCAGTGTACTTCGGTCCTTCTGCCTGCTCTGCTCCCCGCTCTGGCTCTGGTGAATTCTCTCACCCTCCCGCGTTTCTGACTGTACCCAGTGCTTGTATAACCAACCAACCAACCAACCAACCAACCAAACAAACAAATAAATAAATAAATAAAGCATGCCTCTATTAAAAAAAAATAAATAAAAAAAATAAAATTTGTATATTCTTTGACCCAGTAATCCCACTTGTAAAAAAAGTTACCTCAATGATCAATTCATACCGAGTACAAAGTGTGATATCAGCACTATTTGCAGTAATGGGAAACTGGAAATGACCCAAACGTCCATTAATGCTGTCAATCAAACAATGAACTGAGACTCAGGAACTCTAGGCTGAAAGATAGACATGTTGCAGAACAGAATGTAGACTATGATTTTGTTTGTAGAAAAATTATATAAGTTTCTGTGTGCATAGTTCACATATGCATAGAAATGTCTGGAATGATATATTAGATTGTCAGTATTAGACTATAGAAATGGAAAGGGAAAATTTTCACTTTATAAAAAATTTCATATAATTCTACAGTGTTCATGAACAGCACATACTACTTTTCTTATAAGTAATTTTAATGCCATTGGGTTGTACTTAGTACCATTTCAGTGGTTGCTAAAGACAGTGCTGCTGGCCAAGGTGGGGAGTTGGGTTATGCACAGGGGTAGACAACATGACAGAACCTTCTCAGAATAAGAGAAATATAGGAAACTTTTTAAAATATTCATCAGTCAGTATGACAAAATACATGCTATATCATTGATGAAATCCAATTTTTTAATTAAACAGTAAAATATTTCATTAAATTCCCAGATATGTCTGTGTGTCAGAATATATGATAAAAGTAATTGTCAGCTCACTCCCAGAAGAAATTCAGGGAGAAAAGGCAGAGAAAGGGGAGTTGTGGTATATGGGTATAGCTAACAAGGCTCCTTTCAAGTTAGACAAGAACAGGACACTTGATCACCCTGGGGCAATAGGTATACATCCAGAGAAGTGACCAGGAACACCAGGAGGACCAGTGACTACAGTGCTTTGTGCTCCAGGGACTGGTCAGTGGAACACCTTGTTAATAAGATTGGAGCCATGGGTGGGAGTCAGGTGCATATCACTGGACTCGCCTTCCCTAAAGGCCAAAATCCAGTGTTCAGTTTGACCCACCCTTCTTTGTCAATAAAAAGGCCAGGATCTTGCTCTTGAGCAGCATCCTGCATGGAGCATCCTGCATCCTACAGCCTGCTCTAAGACTCTGGTTTCTTTTCTTTATCACTGCAGTGTTGCCAACACAACAATGGTATGGTTAATATTTAATAGATTATATGACAGCAGGGTGCCAAATGAAAGCTCCATCATGTCAACCCCCTCTCTCAGGACGGAGTGGGAACAACGACTGTGAAGGGCCCAAGGGGTAGAGCAAGGTTCCAGCTAGAAAGTGGGACCTCTTTTCCCAGAGCCTCAAATTTAATTTGCATACTGAGAAGGAACCTGTGCCTGCAGCATCTTCTGCTGAGCAGGTGACAGGCGGGCCAGGAGAGGGAACTCCTGCTTCTGTAGGTGGCAGCAGAAAGTTGCCCATAGTCCCCAACTGCTGAGGTCTGGATCTGACTACACACTGAGTGCCTGCCTGCCCTGACACCATGACAAGGCCTCTCCTGGTCCCCGCTGTACATGCCCACCCCATCCCCCATCAAGTCCTGCCCTCAAGACAGTGTAGGTCACACTTCTTACTGATGCACAGGGCATCAGACCTGGATTGGGATCCCTGGGCCAAGCCCCTCATGTTATAGGTGAAAAAGGAGAGGAGACAGATTTTGCCCAAGGGTACCCAACTTTGGTGGCAGAGCTGAAACTCAACCTTTGAGTGAGAAAATGTTCCGGGCCCTCCTGACAATGTTCTGGATATGACTGGCTGCTTCTTCCCCATGTCCTCAACTGTTTGTCAACAAATACTTAATGAATACCTACTATGTACCACTTAAAGTGCTAGGCCTTGAGGACATAGCAGTGAATAAAACAGACAAAACTCCTACCTTATGAAGCTACTTTGTGGCTTAATTACATTTTCTACCTGCTAAGTGGAAGGGAAAAGAAACTGTCCTGCTGCAGTTGGGAAGGCCAGAGCAGCAAACAGTCTGCCCAGGGTATGTCCCCCCTCTGCAGGATGGAGGGCTTCATCCCTGAAGGAAAAGGGACATCAGTTAGAAGGCCCTCTGGGGGCTCCCCAGTACATCCACTCTTAAGAATAATCTTTGAGTCTCAGAACTAGCCTACAAAGCAGGTATTCATATCCCCACTTAACAAGTAAGAAACCTAAGGCCCAGGCAAGCAAGCTGCAGCACTGCCCTTTCTCCTGACAGGGGCCCTGGACACTGCTCAGGCAGGGGCAGGGTGGGCAGGACAATGAGAACATGGTATTTTTCTTTGAAGAGCCTACTTTTGGAAAGAGAACATGGGGCTCTGTTTCTTGTTGTGGTATTCAGAGAAGTTGGAGTTTGCTGCCCTGCCTAGGATATGCCAAGGTGACAGGTCATAGTTCCATGTCCTAGAACTCTGGCACCCACAGCAAAGCTCCTAACCACCAGTGGGCACCAGCCTTTTTTTGTGATACTTAATAAAAACCTTGGACCCTCTCCCAAGAAACATGCGATTCGCCCTCCTCACGTCAGCTTGCAGGGAAATTCCCTGAAATTCATGTTTGTATTTGGGCAGGGCTAGATCCCTGGGGGGAGCTCTCCTAATGCTGGACAAATCATAATAAGGAATTGGAAACTCAGCCCTGTCTCCCCACTATCCCCAGGATATCTTCTGTCTTCCAGAAAATCAATAACTGAAGACAGGCCCTTGCACCTCTAGCTCTTCAACTGCAAGTGGCAAAACCCTTGCTTAGCCCTAAATCTCACTGTGGATTAAGGGAGCTTTGTAGTCACAGGGTTATATTATTAAAAATAGACTGTCCAGAAAGGTATCTCTGGCCAGACCACGCTGCCCAGACTGGGTATGAGTGCCCCCTGGGGGCAGCTCATCCAAGTGTCCCAGGAAATAGAAAGCCGCCCCCTACTAGAGTTTAATTTGATGCCAAGATTTAGGAGAAAAGGTCTTGTTCAGGCCCTAAAGGGGGACCCCCAGAAGAGGACTTTTTCTGGGGAAGCATGTCTAGACAGAGCTAAGAATACCTCGCAGAAGTCTCTGGGTCCCAGCAAGGCCTCAGAACCAACAGAATGATTGTCTGGTCCCTGACAGTAGCACTAAAGTCAGGAGAGAGCGGCCCAAATGAATGGAGACCTCCCTTTGGGGAAAAGGGGAAGAACCCAAACTGCCTGAGGTCGAGTCTTCAGTATGCTCCCTTCTGCTTCCCCTCCCCAAGGGGGCTTAAAACAGACAGTAAGTAGAATGGTAGAAAATTAACTTCTACTTCTTGATCACCTGGATCATAGGCCAAAGACTTACTCCTGCTGCACTGCCCAGTCCTCTCACTGAAATCCTCTTTCTCTGTCCCCAAATTCCATCAAACAGAGCCCTGAAGAAGGGAGAGAGCAGCTAAAGGAAAGATGAACCCCCTCATCAGAGGGCACATTGGCATCACTGTCATGAGGACAGAATACCAGCTCTGCCACTTACCAGACACGAGCCTCTGCCAAGCTCATAAAGCTTCTGAAGCCAGATTTTCCCATTTGTAAAACAGGGATAACAAGCCCCACATCAGAGAGTTATGAATGAACCCACTCACAGAGACTGACCCTGACTCAGTAGCTACTTCCTCAGTTTGCCTCAGTTTGCCCATCTGTACTAAGAGCAGCTATACCAGCTGGGTAACAGGTGACCTTGTGACTCTGGTCAGTAGGCCAGGCTGGCTTTTTGTTACCCACATGGGGTTTCAGTAGGAAAACCCTGCCAGAGCCCAACTCCTGCCTTCAGGGGAGGTGGTGGGTTGCAGGGGGAGGGGGTTGTCTGCCTCAGCCCTGATTAAATCCTGCTGAAAGCTCTGGCTGGCCAGGGCCAAGCGCAGCACACACCTGTCAGGAATGAATGACCCTTTATATCATACTGATGCGGGAGAGCCTAGCCATCAACTCTGTGCCCCAACAGCCCTCTGCCAACCCCTCAGTCTGGAAGTCAAACACTCCCACACTCCCACACATTTTGTGAGTAAATCTGAGGGAAAGCGGCTAGTGTTTGAAGCACACACAGGTGGGCCAGGCTGCCTGTTCAGTTACAATGCACAGATGGGGGAGGAGCCACCTGCAGATGAGGTCAGACCTCCAGGTGGACAAAATTCAGCATCTGCCATCCACATCTCCCAGGATGCACCTCTGGAGCCAAACAGAGCCTGGACAGCCAAGGGACTAACAGCCAGATACAGATTTCCCCAACTATCCGAAAGCAGAATGGTCCTATTTGGTATGATTTGGTAGGTTATTTTTTGGGTCTGGGAATGCTTAAAATGTTTTCCAAATAAATGAATGGTAATGGAGACAGGACTTCCAGGCAGAGGAAGCTGTCTGAGCAAAGGCTCAGCAGCCACAGTCAGGCCACGCTGGGAGGGGACCTGAGGGAAGGGAAACAGAGGTCAAGAGAGGAGATGAAGAAAAGCGGGTTGGGAAGGGCAGATCAGTCAAAACTAGAGAACACAGAGGGAGAAAGAGTATCTTTGAAGAAGGTTCTTGAAAGGAGTAGTTGGTACAATCCTGCCCATTTGAGCTCTCGACACCTGGAGGCAGGTTTTCAAAGAAAGTCTCCCCACCCCTTTCTCCCAGAGGAAAGAAAGGCTCCAGGTGACACAGGGGACTCCCCCTCCCCCAGCAGCCTTGGCCAGGTCTCCCCTGGCCCCTCCCTGAGCTCACTGCCACCTGAGCTGGCCCCATCCAAATTAGCCTAGAAGCAGGCTCAGAAAGAGTAGAGAACAGAGTGGAAAAGGAATAGCCCTGGGGTCCAACCTTTGCTCCCACATCCCGCCCCAAGATGATCCCAGTTCCTGACTGGACTTGGCAGGGTCAGGCTCTTGAGAAGTCTTGTTTCTCATTTAAGAAGGAGCTATATCTTCCAAGGGCCTGGAATGATCAAATACCAGGGCCCAGCCCCTCCCCTTTTCTTCTAGTTTGAAGAGGAACATCCAGACAGTGAGGGGCAGGGATTAACAACATGATCACTAGCCTCCTGGAGGCAGAACTCCAGGCTGAGGAAGGTGGTGGTGCTACTGGTGCCTTTTCTTGTTTTCAGATTTTAGAGGGGTGAGCAGAGTGTCAGCAAACTTACAGCTCAAGGAGCCCCCTGCCTGAGTTTGTACAGCCTATGAGCAACCATTTATAAATGGTTGGGGAAAAAATGAAAAAACTTGAACATTTCATGGCACATAAAGTATAAATATAATTCAAATTTCAGTGTCCTCATTTTTATTGGTACACAACCACGCTCAATCCTTGTCAGATTGTCAGCAACTGCTTTTGTGATACAGAGAAAATTTAACAGTTTATGACAGGTGACATACTGGCCCACAAAGCCTAAAATAGTTACTGACTTTTATAGAGAACACTTGCCAACTCCCAAGGTGCTGATTTTGAGAGCCTGCTTTAAATCTGGGCCCCAGGTTCTGGTCAGACAGACCTGCGTTAGAACCCAGCCCACTATTTCCGAACTGGGGAACTTTGGAGATAAAAATAGGGTTTACTTTGAAGGGTTGATGAGAGATTTAAGTGAGAAAATGCGTGGACATGTTCAATCAATGTTAGCAATTCTTATTGTGATCAGTATTCCTTTAAAGAGGGAGAGTCTAAAACCCTTAAGTCTCTATTACCAGCCCAGACAACGAGCTCCATCAGATACACCACACTCAGCCTGACCAGAACTGGCCTCATGCTCTGCACACCCAAACCTGCTCCCTCTCTCTGGTCCCCATATTTGCTGATGATGTGTCTGAATCACTGGGACGGTGGCTAATCACCCTGACTCACAAACACTAGCTAGTGAGCACCTCACATCTGCAAGCAGGTGAGGAAGGCCAGGTTTAGCAGGACAATGAATGGAGACGACAAGATGGGAGCAATGTGTGTGGCTCTGTCCTTCTCTCAGGCAATCCTGACAACCTTACAAGGCTCATGGTGTCAGTGCTACCATGAGGAAATAAGGCTCAGGGAAGTCAAGTGACTAGCCTAAAGTCACACAGCCACAAAATGGTAGGACTGGGGTATAGATAACACATTCACATAATCTGAAATTCCAAATGTACAAAAGAGCACAGTAAAAAGTCTACCTCCCAACTCTGACTCCCAGCCACCTGATTCTCTATCCTGAAGATGACTCTGCCATGTGTGTCCTTCCAAATACATCCTATGCAAATACAAATATGAAAAAGCACACACACATATATATTTAGATGGGTAGATATAGATAACTTCTCCTTCCAGTTTTTTCTTTTTGCAGATGGTAGTAAACTCTAACATTGTTATGTCTTGTTTTTATCACTTAGAATATGTGTTAGAGATCTTTCCATATTAATACATAGAAAATAATTTCGTTTTTGTTTATCTGTACATTCTCTTTCGAATAGTGGAGGAAATCTGTATTGATGGACAATGTGTTTGTTTCCAATTACAAAATTAATACTGCAATGAATGGCCTTATACATTTGTTGCTTCAGATGTGTATTTCCACAGGATAAATTCCTAGAAGTAGAGTTTCTGGATTAAGGGGTATGTATGGGTGCTCCCCTCAGCTGTACCTAGCTTGCTTGGCTCAGTGATGCCAAATAGTCTACAATAGAGATTGACCCAACTTACAATTTCCCAACAATGCATGAGCACAGAGGCAGGAATTCAGGTCCATCTGGTTCCCAAGCCAGGGCTTATTTTGCTGCACTACAACTGTTGTCATCACTAAAAGGTTTTTCCTAATAACTTGAGATAGCCAAATCTTGGATCCTCCTGCTTGCAAACCTAGAATTCCTGCCTCCTTCCATAGGAGCACTCAGCCCTATCCAAGCACCCATGCACAAAGGCACACTCTGCTTCACCTGAAATCTTATCTACCCACTGTCAGTCCTAACTGATTTCCAATTGCCTAACAGTTCTCCCCTTGTTTCCTGGGGGTTACTCTTCCCCGCCTACTGCCCCCCGTGAGTACAGAGGTAGGACCACAAATCTCCAGGCATGGTACCAAGGCACGGTACCTACCACAGGGGATCAACTTGATAAATGTTTGCTGAATAAATTTTCATTCCAGATACATAAATGTTGTATTCCTGATCCTGCCTTCCCCTTCACTCGCAATATTTAACTAATCTGGAATTCTTTCGGTTCTACTTCCAAAATATTTCTTGAATCCTTCCCCTCATCTCATCCTGGCTCTCATGTCCAAGTCCAGGCCACCATAATTTCTCAGTTGGATTATTATAATGACCTGTTACCTGGATTCCCTGCCTCCACACTCTTGCCTTCCAATCCAACTTGGATTAGAAGTGGTGCCTTCCACACCACTTACTTTATAGACAAAACTGTTAATGTTCTCCAACATCCATTCTCCCCTTCCTCCTTTAATTACAGCAACCCAGTGTTTTGGCCAGGCACCTTTCCCAGCATGCCTTGCAACTGGCTGGGACCACATGACTGAGCTCTGGCCTCATAGGTTTGAGCACTAGCATAGCATTGCTTCCGTCTGCCTTTACAGGAAGGGCACATCTTCTACCCCCTCTATCTTTCCTACTCCTGGGATGTGCCCAACAGTTAACTTAGACTGCAAGATGGAAACTGGGCATTTAGGATGGCAGAAGCATAAACTAGAAGGAGACTTGGGAGGCCTCTGGGAAAAGAGCAGGGTATCTGGCAGGGACACTCCAAACAGGAGCCCCACTGACACACCAGAGGCACAGCCTGCCATGTCTCAGTGCTGAGAGCCAGTCAGCCAGTGGCTGGAACTCAGCCATTGAAATGTGATTCTCTTGAGGGCCTCCTTGGTGGCACAAAGGGTTAAGCATCAGCACTATAAAGCTATCCGCAACTACTGCCATACAAGTTCCATCCCCAGCCAGGAAGGTGACCCACATGGCACAGCGGACCTCTTCTGTCTCTCCCACTGCTCCCCTCAGCAGTGTATTTCAGTCAGTCTGCCTGTTCTGTTCCCCACTCTGTCTCTGGCGAATCCTCTCACTCCCTCCCACCCCGTACCTCTGGCCTATACCCCAGCTCTTGTGTGCATGAATAAATAAATCTTAAAAAAAGAAAGGAATGTCATTTAGTTCCTGCTTCACACACACAAACACGCGCGTGCACGTGTGCGCGCACACACACACGTGCACTCATCCCTCATGCCTGCCATCTATCTGTATGCTAGGAAAAATTGCAGCCTTTTCCCTTCCGTCCATCGTCACCATTCATTCAGAGAGCCTGCATTCTTCCTCCCTGAAGTCAGCAACCTCTTGCTCTGGGCAGCCATGGAGAACCTGCACACACTCAGCAATCCATTCTACTGGACCAGCTCTCTATTATCTGGGCTGAAGGAAAAGCAGCACGATGTCCCAGAAGGTTGTCAACACATAAGCATAGTGTGCGTATCTGGGTAGTCAGTCCCTTTACCTGCAACTGGGAGTGTCTGGTATGGGTCAGGTGCTCAGTGGACCTTAGAAGACCCAAGAACACACAAAAGCTGCAGGTCCTGCTCCCAGGGGAGGAGGCGGTCAGCACTGTTTCTTTCAGAGCTCACATCTGTATTCCACCCACATATCCCAGGCCATGGGCCCTAC